CGGTGTGCGGCGTTGCCGCCATGCTCGTGCTGGCCGGCATCGCGGTGCGCCTGGGCCTGGAGAGGGCGCACAGCCCGCGCGCGCGGCGCACTGTGACCAGGTGAGCTGACCCCCCTGTGACCCGTGACCCCGGCCGGAGCCCTCTCCGGCCTGAGGGCTCCGCGGCCGGTGCACGCCCCCTCGGGCCTCCCACTTCCGGCCCTTCTTCGAGCGCAAGTAGACGCAGCGTCTCTCTGACGCGGTGCCCCTGTCTCTGACTCAGGTCTCTGCCCCCCCACCCCCCACTTCACGGAGGGAGATAACTGATACTGCCCTGTCTCCCCTTGACCTTCCGGCTGGAGCTGGATGCTGGGCCGCCCTCCCCCAGCAGCTCCCGCCTCCTCCAGAGTGGCTGGCGTCCCAGCTCAGAGGGCACTAGGTCTCCTCTAGGGGAGGGGGTCGAGGGCAGAGCCCACTAGCCTATCGCGTGAGAAGTGGGGAGAGCTGACAAGGGGAGGGGGCACCTTCCCAGCTTTCTACCTCCTACCCCACTTCTATGATGCAGGCCTGTCTGCTGTTCTTGGGGGGGGGGGGCTGTCTCAGAGCACTTGCCCCTTGAGACGTCAGGGCTCCTCCTCCCAGCACTAGAAAGCAAACAGAGGTGAGAGGAGGGGCCCACACCTCTCTCCTCCTGAAATTCAGGCTCAGCCCCAGCTTGGTGTGTGGTGGGGTCTTCTGGATCCAGGTTCCCTTCCTCAGCTGAAAAACACTGGAAAGTAATGCTTGGGGTCCCCTGAACCCTCCCCCTGGGATCCTTCTCTTCTCTCCCAAACACCTGCTCACATATCCCACCCCGCTACCACTCTTGGAGGCGGCACCTTCCTCACCCCCCAGCGCCTGGTCCCTTGGACTTGTGTGCCCAAGCTCTAGTGGTAGCTGTTGATGCCCTGTGAGCGTGACAGGCTGGTGTTTAGAAGTGACAGTAGAGAGACACATCCTTCCCCCTTCTGGGCTGCAGGGGAGAGAAGCTTTCTTTACTCTCCACAGCCCCTCTCACCAGATTTGGCCCTTCCCCTCTTCAGGGCAGCACAGGGACTGGATCCCCGGCCTCCACCCTCAGCCGCTGAGCTGCAGGGCCGCTCATGTTTGATGTTGCAGGGGCAGGGTCTGGACGTTCTTCAGCATTTGGAGTCCTTCACGCTGAGTGAGGGCGCAGAAAAGGGCATGCCTTTGATCTGGGTGGGCACCAGAAGCCACACCATGATTGTACCGGACATTCTGGCTGAGATGCGACCTAGAACCCCCTTCTGCTAAGGGACGTGTGGCCATCAGCCTCAGCATGTGCTGTATGGCCCTGGTCAGGCCTGAAACATTCCAGGGTCCATGTCTCTGATTCTCTGTCCTCTTGGGGAGACCTGGAATAGGACCAGGGCTCGCCTGTGCGGGTGTTCTGCACTTAGCTTCCCCTTAATGATTGTGTTGGGGGCCATAGACAGAAGAGTTTTGTTTGAGGATTTGGAGGGAAGTGGGAATCTGTCCCTGAGAAAGTTTGTACAGAGGCCTGGAGTGGGGTGGGGTGGTGAGGATATTACTCAGATATTTGGGAGTGCTGGGCTGGAGGATCTTGGCCCAGAGATGAGACCATGGGGGTGGGCCACTGAGTGAGCCAGGGTCAGACTCCGCCACACTGTTAACAAACCATCCTCCTCCAGTGTGCCTTTTCCAGGCCCAGCCCCAGAAGGGGAGTCATGGAATTAGGAGGAAATCATGGGTCTGGGCGCCGAGGCAGCTGGATCGGCTGTCTCAGGAAAGGCTGTCAGCTGCTGTCGCAGCTAGGTGGGGGCTGGGCACCCAGGGAAGTGGCGGCCCAAGGTCACACAGCCTTTTGGTTTGGGTCTACCACCAGGCCACCTCTGGGCCTCCCTTCCTGTCCTCACCTGCCCACCCTGAGGGGGTCCGTGCCCTGTGGTGGGCGCTGTAGTGGTCCCACTGGAGGATCTGTGTTGGGAGGCAGTGGAGAAGACTTCCTGGAGGAAGAGGAACTCTAGGGGCGGGTTGAAGTGTGAACTCGAGCTTTACTGAAAGAGCTGACAGGAGGGTATTGTAGGGGCCCAGAGGGGACAGCACAGGTGAAATCGTGGTGGAGTGTGTGTCAAGGAGCTTGTTGGGAGAGGAAATACAGCCTGGAGGCCTGGGCTGAGGGTCCAGGGGATGGAGAGGAGAGGACCCTCCCTCTGGAAAGCAGGGTCCCTTGGTCACATGTGACCCCACTAGAGTGACCTACTCTGAGGAGGCCATTTTGGAGTCACAGGTGAGGCTGACAAGGAGAACCAAGACGAGTGAGGTCAACCACGTTAGGAGACTGAGGCCCAGGAAACAATGCCCTGAGCCACATCGGAGGAGTAGTGGCCAAGGCTGGCTTCTGACAGGCCAAGGAGGGCCACCCCTCACCACTCTGCTCTACCCCCGCCCCCGCCAGGACACTGACGGAACTTCTGAAGCAGCCGAGCCCCCAGGAGCCACTGCCCCCACCCCTGGGCCCGCCTCTGGGCAGCTGTGTCCAGGTGCAGGTGGGTGAGAGCCTCTCTCGGGGATCCCCCCACAACAGCACAGGTGAGTGGGTACTCCTTCATTACCCCCTGACCTAGACTGAGGAAATAGGCGGGTTGTGAGGGGCTGGGCTGGCTGCTTCTCAGAGGCAATTGGGGCTGGGCCAGGTGATCAGAGAATCGCTGGATGGATGGGTGGGTAAGCTGGTCCTCTCAGGGCTGTGATTAGGGCTCTGATTCAGGAACCCTAGAGGGACTGGCTGGAACATTAGTCCTCCCAGGACTCTGGGGGTCAGCCTGACCCTAAGACCTCCAGTCGGGCCTTGCCCTCTACAGCCCCTCCCCAATCTTTTGGATCCCGTTCCTCAGATACCCCTCATCCCTAGGGTCCTGGGACACAGGGCCTGACGCAAAATTGATACATGGAGAATAGGTTTTTGAGGTTGGCACCCACGTGGGTTATTATTATGCACGTTAATCGGAGCCAAGCCTCGTTGGTTTTGGCAGGTGTGGAGTACCTGGGCAGCGGGCCCAGGGCGCGTCCTACCTGCTCCCTCCCTCTCTCGCTCTCTTAGACAAGAAGCGCCTCAACAACGCGCCGCTGGGGTTGGCGACACCGGGGCCCCCACGCGGCCCCCGACTGCAGAGTGGTGGCACCATGACACTGCAGCCAGACTACGCCAAATACGCCACGCTTAAGGCCACTGCGCTCAAGGTCGCAGGTGAGCGGCCCTTCCCTACGGCGCCCCAGCAGGTACCCAGGCTCAGAGGGAGGACACAGCTGAGAGTCCCAAGACCCCGGTGGGGCCCCAGCATCGGGCAAAGCCGCCAGGAACACTCGAGGCAGTGATCCAGGTACTACATTGCTCCCCCCCGACCCGGCCCCCCCCCCCCCCCCCCCCCCCCCCCCCCCCCCCGCCTCCTGTGGCCTCACGCTTAAGTTCTTAGACGTTAGGTCCCTCCTTGTCCCAATCTCTGTCTGTCCCCCTCCTTCACGGCCCAGACCCACCTCCGAGGCTCAGTGCACCCCACCCCTCCACGTGCAGCCAAGTCCCCGCCCTGGTCCCTCCTTCCCTTGACCCGCCTCTGTGTTCTGATCCCCACCCCCACCCATCCCCTCTTCCTGACCCTGTCGCCTCCCGGTCCCATTTACTGCCTGACTCTGGTCCCTTTGCCCTTCCCATTTCTTCTAACCCTGGCGCGGCCCATGCGCTCTGACCCTCCCCTCCATGCCCTAGTCATGCCCCTGTCCTGGTCCCTCCATTCCCTGACTCTGAGGTCCGACACCACCCCTCTTCCTGTCCCCTTCTTCTTGGTCCCCTTCTTCCTGATCCCGTCTTCTGCCTGTCTCATTTCTTCCCTGACTCGGTCCCTTCGTTCCTGCTCTGTTTCTTCAAACTTTGCCCCGGGTCATGCGCTGAAACCCGCCTCCCGTCCCTCTCTCCGGCCCCGGCCCGTCTCTCAGGTCCTGGCATCTCCCTTACCATATGACCCCAAGCGCCCGTCTCTTAGGTCCTGGCTTGACCCTGCTCCTTCCTGGCCCGGTCCCTAAGCTATGATCCCGCCTCCACCCGGCTCTAAGGTCAGGCCCCGCCCCCGCCCCTGCGCTCCATGGCCACGCCCCCAAGGCCTGACAGCCCCCCCCCCCCCACTTCCTCAGCCTCTCAGATCATGGCACATCCCTGTCCCTCCTTTCCTTACCCTCGCCCCTCCCCTGCTCTCCCTGGTCCCTTCCACAAGGTCTGACCTAGCCTCTGTCCCTTAGATCCTTCCTCTGCTCTCCCTGGCCCCGCCCCTAAGCTATGACCCCCGCCTCCGTCCCTCAGGTCCTGGCCCGTCCCCGCCCCTCCCCTGCTCTCCCTGGCCCCTTCCCTAAGGTCTGATCTCACCGCTGTCCCTCAAGTCCTACCCGGCTCTCCCTGGCCCCGCCCCTAGGTTGTGGCCCCGCCTCTAAGGTACGGGTCCCGCCCCCAAGCAGTCACCCTCCCTCCCCGTCCGTCTCCAAGGTCCGGGCCCCTCCCCACTCTGGCCACACCCCTAAGCTGGCACCCCGCCCCGTCCGTCTCCGAGGTCCGGGCCACGCCCCTAGCTTGTGGCCCCGCCCCTAAGACCCGGGCCCCTCCCCACTCTGGCCACGCCCCTAAGCTATCACCACGTCCCCGCCCGTCTCCAAGGCCCGGGCCCCGCCCCTAGGTTATGTCCCCGCCCCTCCCGTTCCATCTGACTCCGCCCCACGCTGTCCCCACAGAGAGCGCCCCCCAGGAATTCTACCAGCGTTTCCCTGCCCCGGAACCGGTGCCGCTGACCCTTCCGGCCAGGGCCCCTCGGCCCCCGGAGGACTTGCCTGCGCTGCTCGACGCCTGCCCCTGGGCGCCCCCGGGCTACGCACCTCCCGCCGGGCCCGCCTCCCTGGGCCACTACAAGGCCTGGACCGCGGGCCGCCCTGCCCGGCCCTCTGCACGCGGGCACCTGGCGGCCCAGGCCTCCCCGGCTGCCCGACGGCCCGGCCACGTGCCCCGCCGCCAGTTCAGCGTGGAGAAGCTGCCCGAGGCTTTCACCGCGCAGCCCCCCAGCCTCTACGGAAGCGCAGGCCGCGGGCCACGGCACCTGAGCACCAACAGCAAAGCCGAGGTCACCGTGTGAAAAGGCGCCTGTCCTCCCAGGCCATCACACAGGTCAGCTGTGTCTGCCGACGGCCAGTCCAAACCAGCAGGGCCGGGGAGAGGAGACCCTGTCCGGGACAGCAACCCTCTGCCTGGCCAGAGTGGACAGGGCAGAGAGGTCACGTGTAGGCCAATCTTCAGGCCAGGGGATCCCAGGGCTGGACACCCTTGTGTAAATAAGCCCTTTTCTGTGGTTCTTGCCTGAGAATAAAGGCGGCTAACTAGCTTGGCTGGGCAGGGCTGGTGGCAGTGTTGGTCACTGACTGGACAGACGGCCGTGAGGGCCGAGGGCACAGCGTGTGCAGCAGCCGACTGTCCTGGAGGGCTGGCGCCTGGCCCTTTGAAGTCAGGGACACGATGGCAGAGTGCCAGGCTGTGTCCACACCAGCAGGAGCCACGGGAAGGGGGCATCTTGACGTTTGGGCGCAGGGGAGTACTGTCCCCCTCAGCCATCCGTACCCTGTTGGAGGTGACCTGGGCTGGCTGACCGTCTGGCCCTGGGCCAACTCCTGGCCTGTTGGTTGCTTGGCCAGGGGCCACCCTCCTAATGGGCATGGGCAGCAGGCCGGGAGGACAGCTGGTCCTCAGGGTGGGGGGCTCCTCTTAGGAACGGGAGGGTGGGTTTGGGTGGCATGCTGGACCAGGAGGCTGGGCAGTGCCCTGACCCGGGTTCTCACACCACAATCCTTGGCATCACTCGCTCCCTCTTCCTGCCAGGAAGCCTCTGATGGACTCCTCTATGCGAGGGACTCTGGTGGAGGTGGGGATGGGTGACCAGGTCACAGCCCCTCCATGGGGTGGGAGTCTCCCTTTCCTCCCACCTTGGCTGGGTACCCTTCTGATAAGGGCCACCCCTTTCTGTTGTACCCCGTTAAGAACCCCAGGAGTGTGGCCATAAGCACTCAGTTTACAGATGGAAGAAATACGTATCTGGAAGTCACTTGTCCAAGGTCACTCAGCTGACTTCCGCTTACGGAACGTCCACATTCCGCCACCAGTGGAGTGGGGAGTGGGGAAAAGTCTGAAAGGCTCCAGGTGGAGGAGCCTGTTCCAGATCCAATTCCTAGAGGGTCCATGTCCCTCTCAAGGCCATTGAAGGGGCTGCAGCCCACAGCCCTGGGCCTGCCCTGTGAGGTCTGGCCCTTCCACCCTGGGCCGAGGGTGGGGGTGGGGTGCCCTGGGCCTACCCCACAGCTGTGAGGAGCCGGGGGTGGGGGGTGGGTGCTGAGTCACAGAGCCTGCAGAGACTCACAAAAGGATCGGGCTCCTGGGCACATCGGCCACCCACTGCCACCTACCATGGTGACGCAGGCCCTGGCTAGGCCAGGGGGGTGGGCACGACCCTTATGCTGCCTTTCAGCCCCAAGGCTGTGGTCCCAATTGTCACCACACACTCCCTGTCCCCCTGGGTGTGGCACTTTGCCCAACCACTCCTCGGGGAGTCTTCTCTGGGTGGGGGTGTGTGTCCCAACCAAGGTGGACTGTCAAGCCCAGGAGGACCAGCACTGGAGCAAGGCTGTCATCTCCTTCTGAACAGGAAGACATGGGGCAGACAGGCAACATCCCCCCAGTGGCCCATCTGGGAAGTCCATGCGCTGGGCTTGGTTGGAATGGTGACCAGTGAGTATTCTGAGGGAGGAAGAGGAGGCCAAGGTGAGGTCCTTACCCCAAGGGGGGTAGGTTTACAGTTAAAGCACAGAATGGCCTGGCACCTCAAATCTTAATGATTCTAATCCTTCCCTGGGAGCAGACCAAACATGGTCACGGAGACCTCAGGTCCCAAGACCACCTCCTTAGGGCCTGAAGTGGGAGTTAAACAGCCAGCACCGGAAGGTCCTCCTCCAGGGTGACACTCCCAGTGACTGGGGTGTTAGTTACCTCGAGTCTCTGAACTGGTGGATTGTCAAGTCATGTGGCCAATTAAAGCAGTCACCAGCCAAGTGGCCAGCAGTACAGACTGTCACACAGCACATGCAGGTGGTACCAGTCGTGTTTATTGTACCCTAAGTTCTGGACATGTGAACAGGCCAACAGCATGGGAGGCATGGCTGTGGCCCCTTGTGGTGAAAACACCCCCTCCCACCCCCAGAGTGACAAGAAAAGGCACAGTATATACACACACACAACACAAGGCTGGCCCAAGGGGGCTGGGGTCCATAAATTACACTGAATAGGGGAGGGTTGTGGATACAGAAAATTGGAGGGCCTGCAACCTCAGGGCACCCGTGGCTCAGTGGGGTCCCTCTAGGGCTGGCCCCAGCATGGAGGGCTTACCATGTGCCCCTCCAATCTGGACCACAGAGGCCCTGTTCAACCTGTCCCCATCAGCTGGCACCCTCAGGTCCCCAGGAAAAACAGCTTTAGGGGAGGGCGCCAAGCCAGGGAACCCAGAAAATGGGGACTTCTCTCCCTGGGACCTGGTCAGGGCACACGACCTCCTCCCAGTGCCTACCCCAGAAAGAAAGGCTTGTCTCAGGAGGTTCTGGGGGGCCACACAAGGATGAGGGTTAACATTTGACCAGAGGTAGGAGCTAGGCTGGGGTAGGAGGAAATGAAAAAGCCCCTGACAGTCCTGCTCCAGCCCGCAGGGTGGCCTTGGCAACCCCAGCCCCTGGGGCCTCCCCTGAGTTTGGGCTCGCATCCCAGGGGGCGGAGAGGGGGAAGGAACAGGACAATTAAATAAGATACCATTTATTTTTAAAAAAAATTAAAAAATAATGCCGACATTATTTCATCTATCCCAGGTCTGCCCCCTGCCTCCCCGGCTCGTGCCACCCACCCCTGGGCATCCTGCTTAATAAAGAGAAAAACAACAAACTGGCTTTGTCAGGCTCAGGGGGAGGGCTGCAGACCCGGGGGGGGGGGAAATAAAGATGCTACAGCAAACAGCCCCGTATCATGGCAAACCCAAGCACACAGATATAAAAACATTCGTATAAAAAGGGGGCATGCTGGGACAGGCCCAGGACTGCTCTCTGGTGCTGGGACCTGTATCCCTAGAAGAAAGCCTGATAAAAAAAGGAATCAGAAAAGGGGAGCAATGTCCACGGGGACCTCGTCCAGGGAGAGTGAGAGGCAGGGCTTAGCTTTCAAGCTGGGGCTCCTACCACCCACCAGCCCATCTCTTCTCCCTCAGACCCCCGGGCTCTGAGAGGTGAGGGGACCATGGGCCTGAGGAAGCCCTAGAGCTTCAGCAGTCAACCCAGAAGCAAGGCTCATCTCCACAGTTCTCAGAAGGAGAGAAGGAATGAGAGGAGGGAGAGAGAGAAGGTGGGAGGCAGAGAGGGGAGGGAAAGGACAGGAGAGGGAGGAGGGAGGTGGTCATTGCTGAGTGGTGTCAGGAGGCAGCGATGGCCGTGCCACCGCCCAGCTTGACGATCATCTGTTGACAGTCGTTGCTGGAGCGTCGGTCGCCCACCTTCTCCAGAGTGCGGGCTGCCTCGGCCAGCAGCACTGCCCGCTGTCCCGGGGAGGAGAGGAAGGAGAGGGGGAGGTGACGGCAGGCCAGCAGGATGGCGGTGGCCCGTTCTCGCTGGCCAGGCCATGCGTCCACTTCGCCTGCAGGAATGGAGGGGGAAATGGGAGTCCCGCATGATGAGCTTCCTGGGGCAGACCCAGCTCGTCCCGCGGGGGAGTCCCTACCCTACCCACAGCACCAGGTGGATGTGGTCCGTTCCCAAAGGAGCAGCTCCGGAGCTACACCACCTTTTCAGGGAGCAGCACTGGGCTCCCGGCTGCTCCAGTCCCCTCCAGACCTCTGAGCCTCCCCCATCAAGCCCCATGCGCACTCCGTTCTCTGGGTGTGGGACCTGGCAGAGGGACAGAGGCTCGGACTAACCGTGCTTGGTGCTCTGGGCCGTGCGTCGCCGCAGGCTGTGCTCCAGCAGCTGGTGTGTGCGCGTGGGGCTGGCTCCGGCCATCAGGCGGACAGTGGCCTCGTGCAGGAACACCTTGGGGAAGAGCCAAGCCCCGGGTCCTCGGGTGTCCATGGCTCCAGCAGGGCCTTCTCCCTCTACAATCATGCCTTTCGCATTCCTAGAGGCACTCGAACCCTAAGCCAAGCCTCATCAGGGTCCCAGGGGAGTGAGAGTAAGGGAGAGACTGAGACTAGGGAAGGGGCCAAAGGCCCGCTCTTCCCCTGGAGACGGGGCTCCACAATACCCCTGGAGCTGACCGACAGTGACCAGGGAAGGCTGGGTCCTTGGAGGCAGACCAGAAGGCTGGCACCTCGGAGGTACAGATGAAGGTCTCTTTAGCTTCTTCAGAGAGAAACTGGAGGGTCTAGGGGAAGATGCACCCTTAGGAAAGCACAGATCCTAGGGCAAGGGGGCCTGGTCTCGGACCCCTTAAGCCCCAGGCCCTTTTCAGAGCGAGAAGTGCAATCAGAGGGCTCAGAGAAGGCATCCAAGCAGACTTGCTCTGAAATGTGCTCCCAGGAGTGCCGGGGTGCCACCACACACCTATCTGAGGAGCTCCCACAGGTATTCCGTGCCCCACTCGGACGGCCAGGAGCCTCTCTGCTCTGCTGGCACGTCTGGCTCTCTTGGGGCGCAGTGCGACCTGCTCCCCATTGAGGCCCAAAGCCAGGCATGCAGTAGCTGAGCCTGGTAGAGGAAGGCCTGCCGAGGTCCTGTCACCTCCTGCCCTCCTCTCCCCAGCCTCACCTTGCGGTACGCTGGCCGGAAGCTGTGTGCCAGCCTGCGTAGACTGCCCAGGTCACGCTGGAAGCCAGCCAGCTCGGCGCCCGACGCCTGGTAGGTCTCGCCCAGGGCCTGGCTGGCTCCTGTCTGCTTCTGCCATAGTGATGTCCTCAGGGACAGCAGCAGGTCACAGGTGAGCAGCTGGATCACCTGCAGAGGGAGTAGTGAGGGCGGGGCCAGGTGAGGGGCTGGGATCTTGGCCCAGGGGAGAGAGAGAGACCCAGACCAGAGCAAGGGTGGGGATGTGCAGCCTGGCAAAGCCTTGCAAGGAGGAAGAGGAAGGTGGGAGGGCCTCCATGTTCAGCTGCGGGCTGGTGTGTCCCATTCCTCTGCAGGTGGGCATACCGAGGCTCAGGATACAGGGTGTGGGGTAGTGGCAGGATGACGCCCGGGAGGGGACGACCAGGCTGGCTCGGCCTCTCCAACCCCAGTGAGTGAGTGACCTGGAGGTGGAGGCGTGGCGTCCCACCCCCAAGGCTCTGGGCCAGCAGAGGTCACTGGTGCTGCCCAAGGTCCTGGTTCTCCTTGGAGACAATTACTAAGAGGTGAGCAGTAAGCTGACTTTCCTGGCCTGCCTGTAGGGGCTCCAGGCTGCTTCTCACGGTGGCTGGTGTCCTCTCCCGGGTACCCAGTAGCCCCCCCACCTCCGTGATACCCTCCAGCTAGTGTGTCAGCGTAGTCAACCAATGACTGCACTCCTGTGAGGTCCCCCCGAGCCCCCTTCATGAATTAAAGCTGCAGCGATTCCCTTCTAGTTGTGTGTGTGTCTCCCAGAAGGCATACAGCCGGATGGGGACTCGGTGAGCACTGTGTCCTCTAAGCCGAGGTCTGGCGCCTTTGGGGAGGGGCAGGTGGACAGTGTCCTCGCGGGCGGGCGGGCCTCTGGGATGCACTGTGGGAACATTGCACGGAGCTGCCAGAACATGCAATGCAACTACAATGCACCGCAGCTGTCCGCCAGGTGTGCTGTGGCCGCGGAGACCGCTTGGCGCTCGGCGTGTTGTGGTCCGCTGGGGGCCGCAGAGTGCCACGGGCAGATATGGATTTGGGGCGCCTGCACTGGGGCAGTAACCACGTTTGTGGTGGAGCAGGCCCTCAGACAGGCCCTGGCACTGGGCCTGCGGCAGGCTGGCTGATTCTCCTCCACTCACATGGTCGAGGGCGGGGTCGGCAGCAGTGGCGCTGACATTGAGGCTGCTCCACAGGTGGCCACTGGCCCGCTCACAGTGACAGAAACTCTGTGACCCATCAGCCTTTCCTGACAGCGAGGCGTGCATGGCCCGGCAGGAGTGGAAGACGGCCTTCACCAGGGGGCTTCTGCGGGATAAGGAGAACGGAACAAGGTCAGCACTCAGTGCGGAGGACGTCTGTCCCGCTACCACCAGGTGGGTCTGAGTCTCAGCTGACCACACACCCCCACAATGGATCCATGTGCTGCTGACCCCGCTGGACACTCGCAGACCAGGCTGCCTCTCCCTCACCCACTGCTGTGGATGCTTGGGGGCCTAGCAACCTCTCCCAGATGCTGAAGGACGTGTTCCTTCCTGGAGCCTGGTGAGGCGGGGGCAGCCAGGCTTGCCGAGCGAAGCCCAGAGAGATGCTGTGTGGTGGACCAGCCCCTCATGGCTTTACATTATCTTCTCAGCTCCGGGCACCACCTTATGTGCCCACTGCTGGGGCCTAGGTGGGGGTCCTGAGGCTGACACCTGAGCAGGCGGGCAGTGGCCTAGACAGGCGGGCAGTGGGCTGGGCAGACGGTCTTGCTGACAAGGAAGGAATCCTCCAAGCTCAACCTCCTGGAACATGAGCTTCCGCCCCATCAGCTTCCTTCTATCCAGTGACCACAGCATTACTGACTGCTCTAGTGTCACCCAGTGTTGGCCTCTTCTGTGCACAGCTCTCCACGGGGTCACTTCCTTGGAAGCCTCGAGGTCCACTCTGCAGAAATGTAGCCTCTGAGAGCAGGGGGAGGCTGGGAGAGGCGACCACACACTGGTGGTGGGCCAGTCAGGGCCATCGGCTGGATGCTGGGGTGACTTCACACACGTGATCCCCTCCCCCCAAGCCGTAGTCCCCTCTGAGGAGCTGGCTGTGATGCAGTGTCCACACAGATGAAGCTCCAGGGGTCCCTGCTGGGCACTTCCGGGCAGGGGCTGACAGCGGATGACGGAAGTGTGTGAGGTGTCAGGCCACTTTTGGGAACATATTTTTTTTTGGGTCCTGATTCACGGTTTAATGGCTGTCCAGCTGTAAGTCCCTCATTTCTGCCGCTCACGGTTCCACTGCTCCGGGGTCAGAGTCTTCTGTTCAAAGGCATGGTGTACGAGGGGAACATAGGGTTTTAAGCCTCCTGCAAACCTGGAAGGAGTTCTTGGGTGCCTCACTCTGGCTAAAAGTGGCATGGTGGGGAACCAAAGTTTTCCATCTAAGGCCAAGACCTTAGAAATCTCTCTGAAATGGCAGAGATGTCGGGAACCCTCTGAGTCAAACAAGAGCAGCCAAGTGGGCCGTATGTCCGCAAGGAGCCCACACAAACCCCCAAAGAGGAAGGCTCAAAGTGCTCTTGCTGGGTGTCCCTGTGTAAAACCCCGTTTTAGTTATGGGACAGTGGTGACATGGTGACAGCGGCAGCTGAAAGGGAACAGGACGAAACAGCATGTGGGAGGGTCTGCTGGCCTCCAGAGGCTTCAGGAGGGAAGTTCACTTCTCTGCCCATCCTCTAGCCCCACAGTGACGCCCCTGAAGGTGCAGGGCCAGCCTCTATTGTCCCTGGGCTCCACCGAGGCCCCGAGGCTGCGAGCATGACACAGACAGCCTGCCAGCCACGCTCGGTGGCTCCATCTGTCATTCTGTCCCCTGGCCATGTAGACCTACGCCCTCTGCTAATGTTAGTGAGCCCGGCATGCTGGTGTGGGAGGCTTACGTACTCGGTCACTTCCAGGGCCTTGGGGACACGCTCCACTTCAGCAAAGTGAGTGCGCACAGCGGTGTCGTCTCCCTGGAGCCAGCTGATGGCCATGGTGACCGCAGACGTCCACCATCGACAGACGATGTCAGGACCTGGGGGAGAACGAAAAGTCACTCTGGCATCCACAGAATCCGGAGGAGGGCCCAGGGACTGGGCTTGACACAGTTCTGGTTTCTTTTTCGTTTTTATTAGGATTTTAGAGAAAGTTTACAAAAGCAAACTAGTTCTTCCATTTGACCACGCGTTAACATTGTGCTTTAACCACTCTCTCCCAGCTTTCTCCCTGTGAGTCTCATTTCCACCATCCCTCTCCCTGCCCTTCCCGCCTTTAGGGCTTTCTCTGTCAGCAAATGCTGCTCCTGACCACATACGGATGTTTATTCTAGGGTGTGAGTGCCTCCCCGGGGTTACTGGGACCTGCCCATTGTCGGGCTGAAAGCTGAGCCACTGGGGTGTGCTTTGGCCCATTTTTGAAGGGTGACTGAGGTCCCCCAGTCTCTATCAGGTTTTTTATGCTTTTGAGTTCTGGTCCACACTTTCCCCTGCTGTCCGGGATCTTCTGTGCCCCTTTTAGAGGTCAGCGGCAGTAGCCAGGCACCACCTAGTTCCGATCTCAGGGTCATGGAGATTGAGGTCTGCGTGGTCTACTGGTCTTCTGGCCTAATGCTTCCTATGCTTATCAGTCACACAGTCCTGCTGGGGTAACAGCCAGCACGTCTTTAGAAAGTGCTGGGAATGGGTTCAATAATGTATACTGCACTGAAACAGAGGAGGGAGAAAACTGTTTAAAAGAGATATATGACTAGGTACTTCTGTCATCACAGGAGTCTAGAGCGAGGGCTACATGGTGGAGGGGACCTGGGGGAGGGTTTGTAAAACAATGAAAGAATCCTTTCTTTTACTTTTCCATAATTTTTGACTCATGTACTTATAACTTGTTAGTCAAATTTGTGTCTTCTAGGTTGCAACGCCCCCATGATACATCTTCAAGGATATGAACATGTACGGCCAAGCACAATCAATAAGAGTGCATCTAAATTCCAAAATCAATCTCCATAATAGTCTATGTGTTTCCTACTGCCAAAGGGGCCCTTTAGAGTAGTGAGAGAAGATCTTCACCCTGAAACCCACAGCGTCCCTTTTCAGCAGGAAGTAGCTAAGAGAATACGCCATCCCCTTTTCCTTATGAATCAGGGTGAAGTCTCTCTCAGGGAGGAGTGATAGGGAATGGCAAAGGACACACCGACAAAGGAGATTAATCAGAAATGACTTTGACAAGCACTGTGGCAATTGGACAATTAAAACAGACATTCGGATGGCGGGGAAGAAGAACAAACTGGGGAGGAGGGTGGAGAGAATGGTGCGGCAATGAAGGAGTGAAAGCCCAGAATCCCTGTGAATGTTCATTGAAACTAATAAAATTTAATAATAATAATAAAAAAAAAAAGTGCTGGGAAATACGTATCCTGTGCCTTTTAAAATGCTCAGTCCTGCAGACCTAAGAAATCCTGTTCTTAGCCACTGATCACAAAGGGATAAACAGAGAAAAAAGTTTAACCAAGACTTCACTGTAATGCTGTTTTTTAATGTAAAAGGTGGGTCTAGTACAAACTTCCAATTGCCAAGAAAAATAGTGCTTTCAAAGCGTTAACAGGCTCGTGTTGGAATCTTCTAGGTTTCTATCTCCTCGCATAGCCTTTCTTAGGCTTCCCCAGGACAGAGACCCCTCAAGGCCACTGGTAGTAACAGGGTGGCCACTACCCTGGGATCCTTCTCTCCTTGGGAGTAGCCATAGGTGCCTCACAATCCCATCTTTTCCAGAGTTGCCACTGACACCTGATGGCAGTTCAGGGACAGAAGCAAACTCTGTCCTGGTGCACAGTGGGGCTGTGGGCTGGGTGGTATTCCCCCAAGGCCAGATGAGAGGATTCTGCAGCATCAGACCATAGGAGCACAGGGGCGGCCACACACTGCACTGGTGAGCTCTGCCACCTCTAGTACACGGGCCACCTGACACCTGAACGGTTGTGACTTGTCTCACTCTGAGGACTGCTATTTCCTGCTTCCAGGAAGGCTAACTGATTTGGAGTTGCAGGAGGGGTGCTAGAGGTCACCTGGAGTTTGGGAAATCTCAAGTCTGCAGACTAACTAAGCCTGGTCTCCAGGACAGAGGGAGTGACAGCCTGACTCATGGAGCCCCAGCCCAGAGACCCTGCTTGAGATGCATACCCAGGGCTGACTTGAGGACAGAGCTGCTGGAGAAGGGCGGGGTCATGATCCCCACGGAGTCCACAAAAGAATTCAGCAATTTCAGGTATTCCAAGGCAGTGGAGAATTCACTAGAAGGAAACAAAGAAAGGGCGTGTCCAGTCCCAGCCCCCAGATGCTGGTGATGTGAGGCCTTCTACCTACCAGCAGGGCCACTTCTGACCGTCCTCCCCAGCGGACCAGGGACTCAGAGCTCTGCCTGGACGTCACTCACACCTTGTCCTCCTTTTTTCCCAGGCTTCTGGGATGTTCCTGACCCGCTGCCCTCTTCCAACCTTCTTGTTCATCCTCTCTGGCCAAATCTGTCTGCTCAGCCCAATTTGGGAGTGAGCCCCTCTTTCCCGGCAGAGCTGCCTCCTCCCTGCGTCCAGGGCAGTTGGGACCTGGCTCCCACTCGGATGAATGCCCAAGTCTTGTTCAATGAAGGGCAGCCTGAACCTCACAAACTCTACTGCTAGACTCAGGCTGACACACCCCATGACCATGCTCCTGACCCCTCCATGGCCACCCTGAGAAAAGCAAACGAATCTGGCCTTTGTCTTGCTCTACTCAGTGGAAGGACGGGGGCAGGAGTCTGGGGCAGCATGGGGCTCAGCACGGATCTCTGGCGCCTGACCCATAAGCACGAGCTGACCGTGAGCCACAGCCGGCCCCCATCACGTGAGCCCAGCCTCCAACAAGGCCTCCTGCTTCTAGAAGGCAGGTGTGGCACCCTCAAGCTCCCAGGGCTGTTCTGAGGACAGTACCAGCTCTCTTCGTCCTGGTCGCCAGCCTTCTTCTTGGCCTGGGGCTTCACGAGGGCTTCCACAGCACGCTCCAGCAGGCTCTTGCAGAATGCCTGGTGGACCTGGCCAATGGGGTCGGCTGGGGAAGCAGAGAAAGGCCAGATGAGGTGGGATTGTCAATGGTATTATTTAGGAGACGGTTTTGTGTTTACAGAGTAAAAAACAAACCAGAGAAAGCAAGCCCACAACAGGCATATTCTCTGAATGGGGAGCAAGTGCTTCACCCCAACTAAAACTCAGAACTAACCTGCTGAAGAGAGGACAGAGAGAGAGAGGGACGGGGGGAGGGAGAGAGAAACAGTGTGTGTGTGTGTTGTTACCTCGCATGGAGCTGTGTGTATGTATGTATGTGGGTGTGGTTACCGTGTCTTTACATGGGGCCTTGTGTGTGCACGTGTGTGACAGAGACTGAGCTATTACTGTGTCTCTTGGCCTGGTGCCAGCACTCCAAGGTGGCTGCAAGCCCCTCAGCAGCGGGGAGGCGGACAGCCCGGCCCGGCCCGCTCCCTGTGACTCAGGCAATCAGTGTGGAGGAGGGGCTGACGACACCACGCTCCCCACAGCGAGAACCTGCTCCTCCATTTTTCCAGAGCCTTGTCATGGAACCTGTGATCAGCGGCAATCTGGCTGGTGATCCCACAAGGGGCCACCCTGAGCCAGGACAGCTTCCACCAAGTCCCTCTATTAGCAGACCCAGAACACGGCTTCATCAGCCCTCTCACCAGCCTCCTACATCAGACACCTGGGCCTCAGTCTGACCAAACAGTGGAATGCTCTAGAACACATGCTGGTGACACAGCCTGAGGTCAGAGACTGTGAGGAGTGACTAAGGCAGAGGGAGGTCCATGTCATGCATGGGAAGGCTTGTGGGGTTGGGGCTGAACATCTCAGATCGCTTCTGTTTCCGTCCTTACTCTCTGGTGCTGTACACACTCCTTATACTTTAACAACAGAGGGGAGCCCCCCCAATCTGACATAATCTTCCTGACCTGGGGAGGGTGGGGACAAGCCGAGCAACGCACGGGAAGCCCTGGCGCCCGAGGTCTGGACGAAGCTGGCCTCCCTCCACCCCTGTGAGGTGCGCCAGTCGACTCGAATCACAATCAAACCCCAGGAACGGGCAGCCAGCACCCCCTCCCGCCGCCCGGAGCCCTGTCCCCACCACCACTCCAAGCCCTTGATGACTGCCTGTCGTCTATTGTTCCCTGGTGGTGCCATTTATGTCTGCCTGCTTCCTTGAAACGACACAAAGCCCCACAAGCATTGTTCCTAGAGCCCTGAGCAGGGGCACCACCGTGGCAATGTGCTGTGAGGACCATGGCTAGCTGAGCTGCTGACCCGGCAGTCCCGTCACCTGAGCCTCATGGCTGAGATGCTCGGGTCCCAGCGCACTCTCCCCGGCGACCCTGTGCACCACAGCTGCTCTCACCTGGGTTCCTCTGGGCACAGTACATGCTGTCCCTGGCAGCCGACTTCACCGACCAGCTCCGCTCCAGGAAGAACTTCTGGCCCAGGGGGTGGCAAAGCCAGCGCAGGGAGTCGGGGACGGCATTGCGCTCGGGGACGCACAGACTCTGGGCACGGTTGAGGAAGTAGCTCTGTGGAAGGACACAGATGAGGGGTGACCTCAGGATGGCAGAATGCTGGCTACAGTACCCACACACGGGTCATCAGAAAGCAGGAAGGTGGCAGCAGGCTTGGGGTGTGTGGGTGTGAGGGAAGTAAACCCCATTACAGAAATGGGGCAAGGTGCAGTCAGGCTTGACAACTGGTATAAAGCTAGGTCAGGGCACATGGGGCCCCACCGTCTCAGACAGGGTGACCCAACTACCGGGCCCCATCCACCCTCCCTGAGCCGCTAGTCAGGAGCAGAAGGGGCTGAGGAAGAGGGTTGCTGAGGGGCGCTCAGGGCCCCTGCTCACGTCCACTCAGCCTGATCATGCACCTGACCCTGACCAGGGCCAGTCAGTCTTCCACCCCGCACCCACCTTCCTCAACCAGAAACCTCAGGCCTGTCTTTTCTGCCACTTAATTTTTCCCTGCTTTGAATAGCATGAGTTCAGAACAGTGTGTAGCCCAGAGTAAGGAGTCAAATCCCCAACCAGACCCATGGCTGTGGACTTGCTTCCACTTCAGAGCACCTCCGAGGGCAGGCCTGGCCACAAGGTTGCTGTGGGGGTGGGTCTGAGAAGCTGACGGCCTCGTCTTTCTTGTGCATAGTGGCCAACAAGTCAGTGAAGAGCTGGGTGCTTTATCCACAGTGCCACCGGGGCTCTAGGAAGTGGTCTGGGGCTGTCACTTCCACACGGACAGCTCTGCAAGGGGAGGGAGACTCTGCGGCTTGCCCTTGACTTGCTCAGTTATAGGGGTGTCATGTGTGTACACACTCATTGTCAAGAAATTAAAAGAGTTAGTGTGCAGGCCCCCCTCCACTGCCCACTGCCCAAGGAGAAGTGCTTTCCAGGGTTCCAGTGACACGATCTGCAGAGACAGTGTTATCTACTGCTGTTGTAAGACACTGCCATTTTCTAAGTGAAGACATTCTAACTCTGAAAGCCCAGATTTCTGACGCTGTCGGTACACTCAATCTGAATGAGGACAGCGGACACAGTTCGGGGGACTCAAGGGGCCCCTGGACCCCAATCTTCACTGGCAGGTCCGCCTGCACCAGGAGGGGGACAGAGCTTCATTGTCCAGGGCCAGGTTGACCGTTCTGACCTTTACTGCGCTCTAAGTGACATCGGCTCATGTAACAGCTTTGCAACACTGAATGCCAGAGTCAGAAATAGCAATGCCAACGTGTCACTCATGGAGTGAGAGCGAGGAGCTGGCCTCACATGGGGACTCAGAGGCTGCTGCCTGAACCCTCGAGGAAACCACCTGGCCACGTGCTCTGCAGACACCACGAATGGGATCCAAGCGGATCTAATGTCCCTTAGTGCCTTGCCTCCTCCTTACTGACCGCCGCTGGTCAAGGACTGAACTGTCTCCAGGACAATGCATGTCTGCAATGGTAAACTGTGGAGGCTACCAAACCATCCCCCGAGACCTGACAAAGGGTGGAATGCAGCACTCCCGACCCCAGCACGGCCCTGAGCAGATGGAAGGGGAATTCCTCCAGGGTGTGGAACTCATTCTATCTCAGCAGAGAAGACTGAGAGAAGCTAGAGCAGAGGGGTATCACCATCCCCCAGTGAGAAAACGGCCAGGCACGGAGCCCTGGGTCATGGGCCGGAGGAAGGGAGGGACAACGGAGGCCTCCAGACTTTCCTGCACAGCCCACAGAGCGAGAGGGGCCTCCCCCCGAACTGCTCACTGCCCAGTCGGGAGAACCGACTCCTAGCTCACGCTGCGGCGGGTTTCCAAGCGAGGAGCAGACTGCTCATCTTGTCCCCACGGAACTGCTAGTGAATCCGAACCACCAGAGAGGTGTGGTCTTTGGGTTACCAGTGAACTCTCTGTAACTATGCCACCAGAGTTCCCCTACGACTGGCACCTTAAATTTGAACTTCTGGCCTTCTAAATGTTGAATAGCATGTTTGTTAAAGCCACCCCCTCAGCATCTCGGTCACAGCAGCACAGACTGTGAGGACAACTCTCTTCTTCAAGGTACGGAAGAGCAAGTGTCCTTCTCCTGTGGAACTGCAACTTGTCATGGCGACCGTAGCCGAGGGTCTTATGAAGGTGGGCTGGCCGGTGGCCTCTGACGTCCTTGGACCTGCTAACAGCTGCTCCCTGACAACATGTCTGACAGGAAATGGAGCCCTCAGAAGTGCCTGAGAGTCACACACAGAGAAGCAAGCAAGCTGGGCCCGGCGGTGCTGCACACTAAAGCCAGAGCGGATACGTTTAGTGAACGGACATTAAACGAACTCTGGTGACTGATTGCTGAAGAAGTGTGCTGCTGTGGAACTGTCGCCTGAGACTCACAGCGACCCCACGTACAGCAGCTCAGAACCCTGCCCTGTCCTGGGCCAGTCTCACTAATTACGACACATCAACCCCCACTGCCCCAGTCACTGTGTCAATCCATCTCATCCGGGTCTTCCTCTCCTGTGCGGTCCCTCCTGGCCACGTGCCCAAAATATGCGAGATGGAGCTTCAAAGTCCTAGCTGCCAAGGAGAGACTTGGCTTCACCCTCTCAAGACAGATATTTGTTCTTTTGGCGGCTCTTGGTATATTCAATCCAAAGGTACAAGGTTCGAATCCACCCGTTGCTCTGTGAGAGAGACAGGCAATCTCCTCCTATGAGATTTACTGCCTCTGAAAACCCACTTGAGGGTCAGCTATGGGTTGGTTCCAACTCAATGGAACACACCACCACCACCACCACCACCACCACCACCACCACCACCAAGAACATTAAATGAAAGGGAGCTCTGGTGACTTGGAGGTAAGGAGCTGAGCTGCCAATGCAAAAGAACAGAGTTCAAGTCCATCAGCTGCTCCACAGGAGAGAGATGGGCAATCTTCTCCCTTGTGATTTACTACCTCTGGAAAACCACTGGAGGAATAACTATGAATTGGTTCTGATTAGACAGTACCTCCCAATAACATTAAATGAAGATGTGTTGTTAAAACACTTAATTCTTAATAAAGAAAAGGAAAAAAATCTTAGTCATAACACATTTCAGTGGATGGGTGAATTTAGCAATTGAAACTACTAAGAAAAATAAATCCCGGGGTAGTCATTTACAGTATGACTTCCGTGAAGAAAAGAGAAAATTACTTTTGTTGCTCTGTTAATTTTCTTAGCAGCATAGTTCTATGACAATTTTCCTAGTCTACAGACACTAAAAGTCCCTCAGATTGGGATCTAGGGACCCACTTCCCCTACCACTCATCTGTCTAATCACCCACCTCAAGCAGCCGGGCAGGAAACTGGCCACCAGAACAATGTGGATCTCTGGTGTCCTGGTGGGTAAGGAGCTGTGTTGCCAACCTGAAGGCATGCAGTTTGAATCTACCAGCTGCTGTGAGAGAAAGATGGGTGATAATCTCCTCCCAGGTGATTTACCGCCTCTGAAAACCCACTGGAGGGTCATCTAGGAGTTGGTTCCTACTCTGTTGTTGTTGTTATGTGCTGTTGAGTCATTTGCGACTCATAGCGACCCCATGTACAACAGACCTAAACCCTGCTCTATCCTGTGCCAATCGCATTGCCTCTGACACACCCATCCCAATTACCCCAGTCACTGAATCAATCCACCTCATAGAGGGTCTTCCCCTCCTGCGCAGTCCCTCCACCCTCCCAAGCATGATGTCCCTCTCCAAGGACTGGTCTCTCCTCACAACATGTCCAAAGTATGTCAGATGAAGCCCCAGAATCCTTGTCTCCAAGGAGTAGCCTGGTTTAACCCTCTCTAGGATAAATCTGTTTGTTTTCTTGGCAGTCCATGGTACATTCAGTACTCTTCTCCAGCACCACAGCTCAAAGGCGTCAATTCTCCTTCTATCCTCCCCAGTTATTGTCCAACTCTCTGATGCATAACAAGTGATTGCAAAGATTATGGCCTGTATCAGACGCACCTTAGTCTCCAGAGAGACACCACTGCTCTTGAGTACTTTAGAGAGGTCCCTAACAGCAGACTTTCCCATTGCAATACGTTTTTTTTAATTTCCTCGCTGCTGGTGCTAAAAGTGTTGACTGTGGAGCCGAGCAAACTGAAGCTGTGAACAATCTCAATCTCTTCGCCATCCATCCTGATGCTACCAACTGGTCCAGTGGTGAGAATCTTTGTCTTCTTGACATTGAGCCCTAGTCCATACTCAAGGCTGCAGTCCTTGACCCTCTGCAGCAAGTGCATGAGGTCCTCCTCAGTTTTGGCAAGCAGGGTTGTGTCATCTGCATAACACAGATTGTTAATAGGTCTTCCACCAATCCTGACACCACACTTCTCCTCATAGAGCCCAGCCTCTCGGATAATCTGCTCTGCATACAGGTTGAAAAGGTATGGAGAAAGGACACATCCCTGGCGTACACCCTTCCCAATTTTGAACCATGCAGTGTTTCCTTGCTCTGTTCTGACGACTGCCTCTTGGTCCAAGTATAGGTTTCGCATTAGCACGATTAAATGTTCTGGGATTCCCATTCTTCTCAGAGTCAGCCACAGTTTGTTATACCATCCATAAAAACAACAACTTGCAGGGATCCGTCCAACTCCAGGCCTGACTCACCATGCTTCTCCAAATGTGTGCCCCGGGGTCCTAGTGCCAAAGTGAACTCACAGAGCACAGTTTAACAATTGGAGGGAATACAGCAATATTCAACATTAACTGGACACAGTGCATGCCATCAGGGACCCTCTGGTGGCCTGGCCGTGCTGCCAACCCACAGGCACGTGGCTGGAATCTGCCAGCGGGTGCGAGGGAGAAAGGACAATCTCCTCCTTTGTCACTGCAAGAGGTGGCTAAGAGCTTCTGAAAACCTGCTGGAGGGTCAGCTACGCGTCAGTCCTGACTCAATGGTGCACAGTAACAAGTAAGCTAGGAGTCATTCAGAGTCTCCTTTCTGTGTCTACGGCTGGATGCCGTGTTCACAAAGCTGAGTTTTCAGTGATTCCAGTGATAAAAAGGAGCACGTGTGAGATCCAACGG